CATTTATTCACCCCCTGGGAAGTGCACTCTGATGGCTTTGGGCACATGAGTCATTCCTCTGCAGTCTCTGCAGGAAGAAGGAAAAACGAGAGTCCATCCAGACTGTGGTGGGCCAGCCCTCCTACCCACCTCACAGACATGGCTGTGCAGGCAGGGAAGTTGGAGGGAATCGGTTCTACTGTTGCCTGGCCACAGGTTTGCTGGGCCTGTTGCTGAACGGTGTATCTGCACTTGTAAGCCTCCGAAAAGGGGCAAGATGTCCATCACCACGCCAGGTCGCAAGCTGTTTATCCCTTGAACTCCGGTTTCCTCAATAAGATGAATTTAGAGCACACAATTTATTCTGGTGCCTTGTCTTTCTCTCTACACGTTTGAAATCCCTAATCCCAGCACACTCGCACAACTGAATCCCCGAAGGAAGAGAGAATGAGGGAAATGAAAGAGAGAAATGCCAAGGGGAGAGAATTAGGACCTGTCGAGGCTAGAGAGGGATGGCTCTCTGGTGGGAATTAACTTGGCTTTCTGAGCACATGGGGGGAAGGCTGTGTCTCATTACTCTCGGCTTCTGCACACTGCTGCTATCAAAGAGGCTGAGAGGGATTTCGAGATGGAAGATAGAAAAACCTTTAGCACACACAGTTCTCTTTCAAATTATCCAGCTTTACCGTTACTGCAGCTAAATGCATTTGTTCTTCTTCAAGATATTAAATCCGCAGACAAAGGAAAGTTCTTAAACATTCAAATAAGAGTAATTTTATTATTTTGTCTGATCTAGAGCAGGACTTTCTGTTTTAAATCCTCAGATTCCCACACACTCTCTGGTTTGGTTTTTGTTCTTCTCATTTAATTAATTGAACCTTTAAATGAGCTTTATTGGAACCATGGTGCCTTCAAAGGATTTCATTGCACCTCTGCTTTTATGGTCCTGAATGATGTCATTATTGGCCATCGTCGGACCAATTAAAAGACTTCTCCCAGCTGTTGAAGTGCTGGTGCCTCAAAGAGACCAAACTTGCACGAGCAGAACCAGAGCCTCCCTGATCTAGAACAAAACAGAACAACTTTGCAATTCTGGCCCTGGTGACAATAGTGTCTAGACTTTCAATTTCTTCATTCAACAAATAATTTGACTTTTTAATAATTAAATTGATCCTTTTGAAAATCGTTTTCTGTGCCTAAAAATATTATATTTTCAAGTTATTTAATGAATGTTTAGTTGTACAATTATTTGACTTTTATTATTATTATTATTAAACTAAAATTAATATTGATGATGATTCAATTACAATGCAGAATAATTAATAACCTGATAGTGCCCTCTGCTGGTAACAAACCAAACTACAACTTTAAATTAAAACTGGGGTGCTATCTGCAGGAGGTTTGTGTGTTCTCCCTGTGTTTGCGTGCATTTCCTCCAGGTGCTCCGGGTTTCGCTCACAGTCCAAAAACATACTGATCTTCTGCGAAAATCAGCCCTGTGTGTCTGTGTATCTGCCCTATGACTGACCTTCATCCCGTCCAGGGTGTATCCTTGCTGGGATAGACTCCAGCTCCCCCACAAACCCTGGATAAAGGGGCTAGAAAATGGGTGGAAGGAATTTATATCAAGGCCTATTCATGAGGAACTCAGGTGGACGTGCATTCCAAACTGAGAACAGAACAGGTGGTGAGAGTTTGAAACCACCTACCCAGCCATGTACAGTATTTGATTCCGATACCCTGATTTATGTTTTTCAGGAATCAGCTGAATAAGATCTTTGGATGAATTAACTGCTAACTACCAAATGGACTAGATGGGCTTGGAACTTCTGTACTTTCCAGTTGTGGCCTCTGCCTGATATTTCAAATATTGATTCTAAGTAAGTCCATTGGGTTGAGCATGTCAAATTCTTGTTAGGATTTCGGGTAATTGAATCAGTTCCCCTTTGTACAGAGAACAAAGAATTAATTCAGTAAATCCTATAATGTATCTGGTTGCTCTTTTCTGGATTGGTTCCAGAACAGCAGTATATTTTTTCTAATGTGGTGACTAAAATGGTACACAGCATTCTAAATGAGGTTTTACATAAAAAACTTTGCTTTAAATTTTCCACTTAACTATACATCACAAAAATTCTGATTGTGTTTTTTATTACTGCCCCACAACATATATGATGTGTCTGATAATGGATGGATGAGAGAAGCAGATTTGGGCTCTTGAGTTCTAATTGCATGTGATTAGCATTCCTGTCACTTCAAGGCAAATTGTTATTTGTGAGCCTCCCTAGGTGTGACTCATCATTTTAATTGGATTTCTGCTTTTTGTGTATTCTAAAGACTTTTCTATTCCGGGCAGAGCGTTGGCAACACAAATACATTTTATTTGCCTTTCAGTTCTGTTCATTCTAGTCCATAATGGGAAAAAAAATCAGCTTTCTCTGGAAAGGAAAATGCAACTCTTGCTTAACATCTGTGAGAAAAAAGTGTAGGTGGGTATCTGCGTCAGCATGCATAGGCTGCAACGGAACAAGTAAAGGTTTATTCCATTCTGATAAGAGAAGAAAGAAAACACAACGTTTCGGCTGTGGAGCCTTCTTCGGGTGTGAGGTTTACTTTCATGTGGCAAGGCTCCTTTGCACAGACATCCTCGGTTCATGTTAGTATGACAGAAACTGAGCATAACCACATTGACGGTGCCTGCGTTATATAACTCTTAATGCCTACAGAGGGCACATGAAAGATGAGCTGGCTTCTAACTAAATACAATGCAACCTGCAGTTAAATCTCTCTCTCTGCACCCCAGATACCACAAAATAAATGGGAGCCTATATCCCTATCCATAAAAATGCACCCTTAACAGGAAAGATGTTTCTAACTGAGGTATATTTTAACCTGAAACCCAAGTTCCCTAAAAACCCTGAATAGCAAGCCCTCTCTAACAAGGTCAAATACTTACTGTAGCTCCAGCCAGGATTGATTTGGATGGGAAGAGGCCCAACGAGTCTCCCTCTACGAAGTAGGGGCTCTCACTTGGCGCAACTTCAAGTCCCAACTCCTCCGGACTCCTCTCTGTTCCCTGCTTCTTGTTTCTTCCTCTTTCTCCCCTCTCTGTGCTCTTGTGATCTTATATTGTGTGTGTCTGTACTGCTTCTTGAAAATCATTAATCCACAAGGTACCTAGGTATACTAAGGTCGACTTAACAGTTGTTTCTGTTCAAGGGACCCCCCCAGACCGCAGCAAACATCCTCTGGGCTTTGAAGTTAGAAGTGTTTACTCTTCCAAGTGTTACAAACTTTATCTAAAATCTAAGAGACACTTCTCAGTCATCTAAAGCTCTAGCAATATTGTAACGCTACACATGGTTCACATGGGCACCCACACCACTGCCACATCAGGTCATCCCCCCACCGTCAGGGACTCAAACCCAGGCCTCCGGCAACACTCAACAGGGACCGAGCCTCTTGAGCCAAAGGGAAATCTCCCATCAGCCCAGCAGCTGCAGTCCCTGCTATTCACAGGGAAGGGCAGTGACATCACCGCTCTGGTAAGCCAGCTCTCACAAGCAATGGAGGCCGTATGCGTTACAATATGCACAGTATAGTTATTCCTGTCTGTGTCTAGGATGTTGAAGACTTGTGCACAGCAATTTACACAGCTGTGAGTCCAGTTGTGATGACGGCGTGTTTTCTGTTTTTTATATTTGGAAGCAAGTTGCAGAACTCAGCATTTCTTTAAACCCAGAATTTCCCGCTGTGCCCAAGTTTGGTCCATTGCCAATATGTATTGTTGGTAATGAAGGACGAATTAAAACTCTTCCAAAAAAAGTCTGTGTTCAAAAGGAGCAGAGGATCTGCAGATTTCATTGTACACACAGAGCCGGAACGTGTCTGGAGACGCTTCCAGATTCTAGAACACGGCGCTCCTCAGGCGTCTGAGGGAGGAGTGGGGTTTGTGCCTGGAAACGCCATTACCAAATAGTAGTTTTTCACAATGCCCATCCTTCCGTTTTCTAACTGCTTCTTCCAATTCAGGGTCGGGGGGAGCTGGAGTCTCTCCCAGCAAGGCAGGCTGCACTGGGGACGAAACGCCACTCCATTGCAGGCCACACACAGCACACACACACTCGCACCAGGGCCACTTTTCCAGAAGCCAGTTAAACTGCCAGCATGTCTTTGGACTGGAGCGCCTGCAGGAAGCCCGTGGGAACATGAGGAGAGCGTGCAAACTCACTGCTCCACCGTGGCGCCCTTCACAATAGCCAGCGAAGTGTAGAAACAACCAACTTTATTTCAATCCGTTTAAAAGCCGCCATCTCAAAGTGCTTGTAAGATGCCAAAAGAAGAGAGACGCTGTTTTTTTTATCAAGCTCAGTGTCCCCCTAGCCAAAGTGGGACTCGGGTTTGGAAATTCTGGTCCACCGACAGCAGAAGAGCGACTGGATTACTAGAAAAGTGTTCGTGCGCGATGATGTGCTGTGCTAATGATAGCTAGTTAACACGCAGAAAAGGTGTGACGAGGAGGGCTGAGAAAACAACTGAGATATTTTTGTTTGGAATTGTTATATGTACTCTTGTTTGTATTGTAATGTTTGTTCTTTTGTTAAGCATAAATAAAATTTAAAAAAAGAAAACAACTGAGATTGACATTATAGTCTGAAAACAAGACTGTAGCACAATGTCAGTTAAAAATGAAATAGTCCACTTTAATATAAAACGAATTTTGTGGATATCAACCCTAGACTTATGTTTAACAGATTATTTTCCAGTTGGAGTTAATCGTGTTTTTAATGTGGAGTGCTGATTTTAATTTGGAAAAAAATATTTTCTTCATACCTATAGTATAATCTCTTGCCGTACGGATGTCCGGCCGCCTGCTGCCCGGGTGGGCGCAGCCATATTTGCATGGTCTTTTCCAGACTCGAGCCACAAAGGGGGAGGGACGTCGACGCTGGAGAGCCGCTCCTGCTGCTCCGCCGCGAGCAACAGAGCGGCGCTTCATCGATTTCTCGAAGGGGCGCGAGAGAGGGGAGGCTCCGGGGCCGTACGGAAGTGACGTTCCACACTTCAAACGGAAGCAAAAGAGATTTCGAGAAAGATTCAGAGGCAAGGCGAGTGACGGGTTGGAGGTAGAACGGAGTGTTCTTGGGGTGTTTTTTTTTAAGATTGCTTCAAAATTTAGATCACCGGGCCAATAAGTGTTGAGGTTTTTGTTTGTGTGCTGTATTTCTTATCTTTTAGAGTTCATTCACGCGCCGGGTTGTCCGTGCTTGATCCGACCTCGCAGCGAAGATGACAACTATAGACTACAGCGTGTGGGATCACATTGAAGTATCTGATGATGAAGACGACACTCACCCCAACATCGATACCCCCAGCCTGTTCCGTTGGAGACACCAGGTGAATTAAATAATCGGGCCTGACACAATGAATCGCGATGGCGTTTGCAGGGCACATAAGCATGTCTGTGAACGTAGAATTTTACTAGGGGCCGGGGGAGCTTTCTGTTAGGGGCTCATTAATCCACCGCCCACGACTGCAAAAAGTACTGGAGTAACAAGGCAGTTCATTTTATTTTATAATATTTAAAATGCCTACTCCTAAGAGCTTGCCTTGATTCGTGCACGGTACTTTGTGGTGCACCAATAACAAAGACCCGACGACGTGTTTTTGCAAAAAGGCGGTACTTCAAGCACTCCTCAAGTCTTCCCAACACGTTTTGGAATACATCCCCCCCGGGGTCTGCGCTGTTTGTGCTCAGTTGATGCTGTTAATGCGCGTATGTGGTTCTGGGGGTGCTGTCAGCCACAATTGCTGGTTGTGAGAGGGCAGGAACCCGGCTTTGCACGGCCTCTCGGCTGCTGGTGGGACCTGCCTGCTTTCGGAAGGGGGCTGCTGTGCCAGGAGTGCTCTGATCCCGGCGGAATGCGACTTCCCTCGAACAGCTGTGCTCTTTCTAGCCCGCTGGTGCCGGCCCTCCCGCCCACACTGGGGGGATTAACCCCTGGCTGCTTCGCTCTCGGTTGATTTTACTTTTAACTACATGTTTAGCATCCCGGCCCTTTGACAGGAGGGAAGTAATTGCGATAATTAATGACGCAAAGGGAGGGGAGGGCATTAGAAACTAGAAAGGAAGGTGGGAGGAAGAAAAACAGCGGAAAAGGAAGTTGCATGGGGAATATAGATCAATGGAGAGCCAAAGGGAAAAACATATCAAATGATCAGGTATTTAAGTGCTTATATCTAAATGCTAGGAGTAGGGGAAACCAAGTAGAGGAGAGAGAGAAGCTACCACGTTAGCAGGCAGTTGTGAAGTTATTTTAATCACAGAGACCTGGGTGCCTGAGAATGATGGAGAGGAATGTAACATTAGTGGAGACACTCCACTCTGTTCCAGAGAGGCAGGAAAGATGAAGGAGGGGAGGGGCTGTAGCTGTATAGATAAAACGTTTTCAGCTACAGGAAGCTCGAGTCTCTGGATCTGTGTGGGACAGGCTCATTAACGGAACATTCCAAATGTACAGGGTTAGGAGTAAGATATAGACCAGCAGATGCGGATTATAATTTGGCACTGTGTAATAAAGAAATGTGCATAAGAAGCAGTTTTAATGGGAGACTTTTTCCAAGGCAAAGACCAATAGGATTATCAATGGCAGAATCTCTCACCCACTTCGCCAGTGCATCTGCAAGGAGGTGCTTGTATAGATCTTGCCTCTTCAAAGTCAGGACAGGCTAACAGAAACAGATGAGTGCACCACCAGCGTGGTGTGCACAATATATTGTGCTGTGAAGTGTTTTTGTGTGCGTTACAGACTGAGTGCCAAAGCGCAAAGTATTACAACTTCCAGGAAGCAGAAATTTAAGAAATGGACTTTTAAGGAGGCGGAAGTGAAATAAAATGGGTTTCTTACCAGTTGTTAGCCATGGAAATGAGACATTATTGAGAATACACTGATGCAGCCCTTCAAGAATCGTGTAATACGGTGGTTGTACCCAGGAACTGGAGAAATGGTAACTGGAGTAGACAAAAAGTGAATACTCAAACTGGGGTGGTGTAATAGGTACCAGAGAGAACTGTACCAGGATGATTGGTTTTCTTAATTTATACAGATTAAAGGCCTTGTCACTGCAGAATACAGTAAAATAGACCAGCTGTGTTTTCTCTTTCTGTTGGGGGCTGCCGTTTCCCTGTGAGGCACAGCTTCGGAAATGGCTCCCCTGCCTCTTACTCAGCCCTCCTTCCCCGATTAGGCCAGGGTGGAGCGCATGGAGCAGTTCCAGAAGAAGCGGGAAGAGATGGAGAAGGGGCTGACGGAGTCCAAGCGGAAGACGGCGGAGCTGCAGAAGAAGATCCGGGAGCTGGAGATCTCGGGCACGGACGACGCCAAGGCGGAGCTGCCGAAGCTGCAGGCCGAGGAGCAGCAGCTGAGGAAGGAGGAGAAGAAGTGGGAGAAGAAGCTGGACGAGCACCGCAGGGAGGAGAAGAAGCAGCCCTGGAATGTGGACACCCTCAGCAGGGAGGGCTTCAGCAAGGTTAGTGTGTGTGTGTCCTCCCCAACACCACCACCGCCAAAAACCAGTCCAACGAGTTTAGTTTTGTGCAGGCCGCCGGCCCGGGTTTCATGGGGTCGAGCCTCAATCGCGCTTGTAACAGGCAGTGACTGAGATGAGTGCTGGCGTGCTGCCGGCTGAGCACTGCTGGGGTTATGGTTCAGATGAGTGGGCCAGGGTCAGCTCTGCCAAATGGCAGCTATTGCCACATCCTGGGTGCCTGCTGGTTTTGTAGTGACACCAGCAAGGGCCAGAACTCTGTTTCATGCAGATTGGCCTCTAAGGCAACGTTCAACTGTTGGCGCTGTTTAGCCAGAAGGTCGGAGGAGCAACACTGCCCTTTCTTATTCGCCTTCTTTTGGTATTGGGATTATTGCATGGGGTTATTGGGAGCTGTAATGAAATGCTGAGCCAGTTAAAACTGGGTGGGTATTACGATGGGAACGTACAATACAAGTGTAACAAAACAAGAAGATAGAAAATGGTTCCTGATGAGCAGTGGCCATTTGGCACATCTTGCTGGTTTGATTGATACTTAGCAGCCTGATAGACCAAAGACGCAGGGCAGCACATGGGCAAGGGAGATTAGCACAGCTGTGAGGGTCTGGGGTTCGATTCTGTGTGGAGTTTGCATTCTCCTCCCATCTTTGCACCCCACCTCCTGAAGACATGAAGTTGAGGTTTGGTTGGCTGCTCAGAATGCCCCCAAGCCTCTAGGTGTATTTCCAGATTCATGAGGAAGCTGGTCTCCTCACCTTGTTACTTTGGTGCATCTCTCCCCATTACCAGATCTGGTGAAGTGTACAGATCCGGGGATCTAAAAATGACCTAAAAATCTCACGCAGTTCCTTATTTAAGGAATCCAGGGAGTAAACCTCAAGAACCTAAAGCCGAAAACGGAATAATTCCCACACTGCAAAGAGTGTCAAGTAAAAAGTAAGTCGAAGGATCTATGTGTCTTTAGTCTTGAGTCAAAGAGGTTATTCAGAATTATTCACAGAACACAGGTGCGCATTCAGAAGTCCGATTTCAGAATAAGGACACAGTGATTTACAAAAAGAGCCATGGGAACTGGGATAAAACAAACCCAGCTGTGTTTTTGAATTCCCGAATTCCCTGTTTTTTTAAGAAAATGGACACAGGGTTTTTAAACTTCAAAGACCAAATGTTCTTTTGTGACTGTTTTTACGTGGGAAGGGCTTAGATGGAGTTTTTTAAGTGTGCACAGTAAAGCCCAGTCTGTCCTAAAGAAGGGGGCTTTGGCCTGACCGCACTATCCCTCTCCTCAGAGTGTGCTCAACGTCAAGCCGGAGCATAAGGAGGAGACGGAGGAGGAGAAGGAGCAGAAGCACAAGACCTTCGTGGAGAAGTACGAGAAACAGATCAAACACTTTGGTAAGCTGGGGGATTTGTTCAGCACCATGTGGTACTGCGTGCACTAAGGGAATGGGAGATCTAGACCAGTTTATAAGCCTACTATATCATAAGTTCTACCTGTAAAGTGCAGTTCTTGTATGTTTTCTGTATTTACTCAAGGCAAATTAGATGACACCCAGTGCAGTTGGCCTCTGTAGAAGAGCCTGCCTCTCAGAATTCTTATTGACAGTCTTGTTGTAAAAGCAACAGGTTTGGCCTTTGCAGCAGTCTTTTCTGTTGTCCTGTCCTCTGGTTCCTGTTGTACGTCTGCGTGGGTATGGACGTTGAGCGTGCTATCAGACAGGGTGCTAACAGCCACGGTTGTGCTCAGGTATGCTACGGCGCTGGGATGACAGTCAGAAGTACCTGTCAGATAACCCCCACCTGGTGTGCGAAGAGACGGCCAACTACCTCGTCATCATGTGCATTGACCTGGAGGTGGAGGAGGTAAGCATCACCTGCCTGACCTCAGTCCAGCTGTGGCCAAATGGGGAGGGGGGTGGGGGGGCATGCCTCTGGAATTGGTCTCACCCGAGTCCTGGTCAAGATGTCCATGTATTTTGTAACCCCTTCTTTCAGTTCAGGGTCACAGGGGAGCTGGAGCATATCCCAACAGAAAACGGGAACAAGGCAAGACACCCCATGGACAGGACACCTGTCCACTGCAGGGTGGATGGACTCTGACACAGACACAAAAACACTCATGCTAGCGCCAGTTTTCCCAGAAGCCAGTTAACCTACTAGCATGTCTTTGGACTGTGGGGAATAAATGGAGCACCCAGAGGAAACTCACACAAACACAGGCAGAACATATCAACTCCACACAGTGGCTGAGATGTATCCTAGAAAACTCATAAGGGGTGAAAATGGCACCCTGTTGTACAGCAGCCTGTTGTATTCTTCGTATGACAGTGTGCAGGCTCTTGTATAGATTGTACTGTTGAAGGAGCAAAACATTGGGCCTAAATCTATGGAGCAAAGAATGAAATATCAGTCCCTCAGTTAAGCCTTTAGCTAGGAGCCCCCAAAAGGGAAAACCTGAAATGGACTGACCTGCCATAGAGTGGGAGTTGGTCTCCCTTCCTCATGTATGGCAAACCGGATTGAAAGTTAAAGCTGCCCCCTCAGTAGACTGGGAGTGTTCCTGACAGCAACAATGCTCAGTCATTCCAGCTGGATCAGCACACACTTCTGTCCATGTGAACTTGACAGAAACGTCTCACTGTCACGTAGACAATTCTCATCATGAAGAAAATTGTAAGAACCGGCAATTTTTCATTGAATCCCTCTACAGTTTTTGAGAGCAGTTTGACTTGAGTTAGTAGGTTCTTCTGGTGTCCAAGGCCTGGACGTTCCTGAAGACTTTAGTTTTCCCCTGCTTAAAAAGCTGCCAGCGGCAGTGATATTGGTGAGACCTTCGTCCCGCAGGGTGCTGTGCTGTCCAGATCTGAGTCCTCCATGGGATTACGTATTACACATGATGTTCTTGGTATCTTTTTCACGCCTCCGGACGATTCAGTATTTCTCCTTCCTCTTGTTCCCTGTCTGGAGTTGAATGCATTCTTTCGGCAAGTTGGAATCCTTTGAACGATTGTCCAGAATTCCCAAGTGCACACAGTATCTTGCAGATGCACCCGGAAATCTTGTTTTGGCATTTTTCTGACTTAAGTTAGTTTGAAATTCCATCCATCCATTTAGTAACCACCTTCACGGGTCACGGGGGGGGCTGGAGCCCATTTTGGCAAGCAACAGGCCAAAGACAGGACACCAGTGCACACATTTAAAATATCAGAACATTTTAGGTATCTGAAACAGGACTGAGGCTGCAGTGAAATGGCACATGAAGACCGTCTTCACAATCCACAGGTGACTCAGAGAAGTGAAACTGCCACAGCTTGTGAAACCTGCAGTTTCAGCATAGCCGTCATCCTTGGTTCAGAAGCAGTCCAATCTGGACCTTCCAGGTTATTGTGGTGCAGGGTTTTGTTGCAGCCTTATAAGCCCATCAGCAAGAAACAAATCGATGAAAAGGGAGCTGGATCTCCCAGTCAGAGGTGTAGATTGGGAGGTGTGGTACTCGACCTCTTCTCTGCAGGCTCTGTAGCATCAGCACGGTCACTGAAGATTTACTCATGTCCTGTGTGTGTGGGGGGTCTCTCTGCAGAAACACGCACTGATGGAGCAGGTTGCCCACCAGACCATAGTGATGCAGTTCATCCTGGAGCTAGCCAAGAGCCTGAAGGTGGACCCCAGGGGCTGCTTCCGGCAGTTCTTCACCAAGATCAAGGTGGGCCCTCTAGCAGCTCTTCTGCACCCCGATATGCTGCTGGTACCAGTGCAGGGTGAACAGAGGTGTACTGACTCATAGCATCCGGCAGGCTCTTTTTCTGCTTTGTGCTGTTTGTGAAGGTACAGCGATGTCAACAGAGATGTCGTAGGCTTATTGCTGCCTCATAAGCACTATAAATTGCTTACAAGCACTAGACATTGTGGAGATGTAATGACTTCCCCTTGGGGAAAGACTGTTTGTCTGTGTCTCGTGGGGGGGGGACGCCTGTGAGAGCCGTCACTAACGGAAAAGCCGCATCTCTCGCAGACGGCCGACCAGCAGTACCAGGACGCCTTCAACGACGAGCTGGAGGCCTTCAAGGAGCGCGTGCGGGGCCGGGCGAAGATCCGGATCGAGAAGGCCATGAAGGAGTTCGAGGAGGAGGAGCGGCAGAAGCGCCTGGGCCCCGGGGGGCTCGACCCTGTCGAGGTCTACGACACGCTCCCACTGGTGCGTGTCTCCTGCTCTCCGTCGTTACCCACAGTTCAATGGGTTCTTGCAGGGCGGGGCTGTAAAAGCTTGTGAGGGCGGACCTTAAGGGTGCCGTTTCAGTTTAATAACACCGCTAACTAAATGGTAGAAGAGAGGCCTGTTAAGCAAGTGACGTCCTGCAGCTCCCTCCAGAATTGGCGGGGCTGTTGTCCTCCAGGGCACCAGGCTCTAAACGGGGGGCTGACAGAAAATGCAATTCTCCGGCACCCTAGTGTGATTTATGGGCTTACACAACAAGAGGAGATGAGAGGCTTGAAAAAATAATGTACTTTGTGTTGTTTTTAAATATAATTGGAAAAAACAATGCTTAAGAAATGAAGTGCTTTTTGTTTTTTTCAAAGCCCCTGCTCTTTTGGAAAATGAATAGCAAATGGAGAGTCGTTAAACGTTTAAGGCCAGCTCATTTCGGCAGGAGCAGAGATGAACACATGCCCTGTGCTTATTGGTGGATGGTTGTGGAGCTGTATCCAAGATTTTCAAATGGATTCTCTTTCAATTCCGCAGGAGATGCAGAAGTGCTTTGATGAGAAGGACATACAGCTGTTGCAAGACGTCATCAGCAAAATGGATCCGACGGTAACGTTTCTGTCTTGCCCCTGGTTCATCTGTGTATATCAGGGGTTTCTTCTGGTTTCACATGGGTACAGTCACTGTTGGATGAACCCTTGTCTACAGGTCTAAGGCTTCAGGCAGATGAAATTATGGTGGTTCACACCTCTGCTTAACGGAGATTGGTTGACTCCAGATAAATGTAAATATGCTGTGGAATTAACGAGCACTGTCCTTAAAGAGCACATGCATCCATGAGGTAGCCAGTTTAGGAACCACCTTTAAGTGAAAAGCACTTAAATAAATGCAATTAATGAACAGGCAAAATGAGATTGACATAGATTGCATTATGTGCTGTTTTTCCAGCTATTGAGAATTAGGGAAGAGTCTTCAAAAGACTCTTCCCGTATTTGCACTTTCCTGAAGCAGAGAGAACTGTTCTGGATTCCACAACACACCTGCATATGCCATTTAAATTGTGTCCTTCTCTGGCAGCATCGGCAGCAGGCCCTGCGCGCAGTGCACCGCCAGTGCCCTGGCCACAGCTCTGGGAGCTCAGAAAATGGGGACTAATTAAACAATGTGAATCAAAGAATTTTAGGACCAGAAGATCATGGTTTCCTCGATAGCAATATGTATCCTGGCTGTGTCTCTTTGTCTGAACACTAACCCCCCTCCCCCCGTCTCTCTCAACAGGAAGCCAAGCACCACATGCAGAGATGCATCGACTCCGGGCTGTGGGTGCCCAACTCCAGGACAGAGGGAGCGGAGAAGGCGGAAGAAGAGGAGCCGGTGTACGAGGAGGCGAAAAAGGAGGCGGAAGAGGAAAAGAAATAAGGAAGAGACTCGGCCAACACTGAACTGCCCCTTCCCCCGGCACCCTTTATTTTTCTACAACCCTAGACGTGCCCCTTCACCCCATCCCTCCTCAGGTCGCGCCCTGCTCTGCGGCCTCCTCGCCGTCGTGTGTGCGTGCAGGCCCCGCCCCGCCCCGCCCCGCCCCCTGCCTGTCGTTCCCACCTGAAAGAGAAGCTGCTGGCTGTCCTGGCACACTGGGAGAAGGTTGGCTTTTGCCAGGTAGAAAAAGCACTGTGGTAAGGAGTTGCCCTCCTGCCGAGGACCAGCCATTGTGGAGGAAATCCTAAAGCCGTATTTTTTAGGTTTTTATTTTGCTCATTGGCGTTTGTTTGTTTGTTTGTTTGTTTGTTTGTTTGTTTTCCCTCTGCCATCGAGTCCAAAGCCCGGTGCTCTCCTCTGAGCGATCTCGGTGTGTGTTTGGCGTGCTGGTGGCTTTGGGGAGCGGGTCTGAGAGCTGGCAAGAGGCAGCTGCAGTTGTGGCTCTTTCCCGGGCTTGTGCTCAGACACTTTGAGCCATTCCAGGTCTTCCTGCAGCCTGCAGCCCCTTGTATTTAAACCAGGGCTGGGCAGCTCCGGTGTTGGAGGTGCAGCAGGGTTTGAGCACCACCTCCGATCTCCGTTGCTTCGGTCGACTAATTGGAAAAATCAATTTGCCCCTTTTCTTCACTTTCTTTCCTATTTGACAAAGGGCATAGGAAAACCTGCATGATATGTGAGCCATGAGTAGGGGAATATATCAAATTAATGTTTTAGCTTAATGGACTCGTACTGCTTTCTGCCCCGTCAGAACAGTTTATATAAGAGGTCTGCTGCATGGAACACCCGGGATGGATCAAACCGCTCCACAAAAGGAACCCTACCAGTGTGTCTGTTGTGATGCGGAATTGGACACTAAAGTGAGGTGACTTTATGTTTGGCATGAATCCAGGGCATCAAAGTTGTGAATTTATTTGCATTTGTTAATCTGTTTGTTAACTGCAAGCTACTGCATACAGCATATACTGTTATATTTAAATACCTGGGATGAAGGCTTGCGGTTTTTGTGAGCATATCCACGGAGAGTAAATCGAAAACGTCACACTGATGTTTGTTTTATATGTATTGGGAGCGTTTCTTAATAGTCGGGGTAGAAAGAATGACTAGCTACAGGTATGCTACTGCTAGAAGACCGAATCTACAGATTCCTGTAGTGTAAGCAGTGTGCTCTAGAAGATTACTTTCTTCACTTGTGGACTGTGGAATCTCTTCTAAATCCATCAGGCTAATGGAAATTTCTATCTGTTTTGTGTATGAAAGCGATAGAGAAACTGCCTGTGCTTGACTTTTTAATGCAAATTTTGACTGGTTCTCTGACCGCAGAGCGTCCTTGTGTTTTGCTTGATCTGTAATTAGTTCATTCCAACACCAACATGTGTGGCAGTAGCCCCATAATTAAACACAAATAAAAGCCTATGCTTTCACTCAAGAGTTGCATACATCTCTGTAACTGTCGAAAAGGTTTCCACTCATTTAATTGGTTCTGTTCCTAAATCCTGGTTTTTGTTTTTGTCAATGTTGTTTTTCAAACATGACTTAAAAAGAGAATCACCAAATGTCAAAATATAACAGCAATTGGATATTTTAAGCATTATAAAATGCTGAATGCACATGGTCTTGTTTATAATCATTTTCATTCCCAAATCAATTGTTATTTTTTGTGTAATAAAATCCATTTCTGGAGTATTACAGAAATCATTTGCTCATCTGGAAGTGAGGACTCTTCTGCCGTAAATATATTGTGAACTGTGCCTTCAGAAATGCCATCAATTGTCTCTCACGTGAAAAATAGTAATAGCGGGTCTGTTTAGAAAAATATTTTGTGCAAGGAAAAAATACACTGAAACTTAAGCCTTTTGTCTCTCATTTCCCCTTGACATTGCAAAGCAGTCAATTCACTTTACTGCTGTAAACTGTAAGGAAACTGATGAAATATTGTAACTTCAGGACATTTAAATTGACATTGAATATGTCACAGACGACTGCAAACATTTTTTATGGGCTGGTTCATCCCCAGTACTGAGGGCAGTAATAAATCTGAGTGAATTTCCATTGATTCTTTGGTTCTCTGGTAATTTGTTTAGTAAGGACTTACGCAATCAGTAGCACAGGGATGTCAAACTCAATGAGATTTTTTTGGTTGTTCCAAACAAAAAGCTTTCAGATATTTGGGCTAATTATTTAGCTGTACAACTGTAATACTCCTAACTAGGTTTTTGGGTATTTTCATAGGTAACTGTACCTTTAATGTCATGAATTTAAGTAAATCAACTATAGAAATCCTTATTATAACCCTAAATAAAGACAATTAGGTTAATTGACTGATTAGTTTGGAACAGAAGACAGTAGGCCCTCCAGGAACGGAGGCAAACTGCCTGATGTAGCATTTCCAGTCCTCTCCATGGGCGAATTTTGTAACAGCTGGCTCTTATGCGCACAGTGATTCTTTAATGGCTGATTACTGAAATCAATCTAACAAACGCAGAGCTGCTTGCTCTGACTTACAGCAGTGGAGTGGTTAGGAACTGAGGCAGGCTGGGTAGGGCTGGTATGTGGAATAGGGGCTCAGAGCCTGGTGGAGAAGGCCTGGTGTCTTCTGGCTTTTGATCCACCCTGAGCAGTCAATTAATCCATTAACCTAATTATTTTCGTATTAGATACATCTAGCATGTTTCTTAATCTCTATTACATTCATAAGGCAGGAGATTGAGCTCCTTTAAAGTTTAGTTACTAGTAAAAAGGGTTCCTTATCCTGCTCCTGCAGGTCCACGCACTTCCTGGTTTTCATCGCATCTGCGTTTAATTACCGAATTGAAGTCTTAATTAAACTAACAAGTCGCCTGATTTGAACAGTTCTTTCCCAGTAAAAAATTTGAGATTTTATTGCACTTAAGAAATGCTATAGTTCACAGGCAACCTCCAACATGTTTAAGAGCTAATATCAAAGAATTCACATGAATTCTATGGGGTCAACTGAGGCTTCAGTCCTGTCACTGAGAACTGGGCTGGTACGCAATCCAGCAGGTGAGCGTGTGGGTCTCCAGTACCAGGACTGGGAATTCCTGACCTATAAAATGCTCTGGTGCCAGGTTGGAATTATTACAATGAGGTACAGCAGTTAATGAGGTCATTCGACCTGCTGTGTAGTGGAGAGCTCGCGGGGAATGAACAGCAGAAGCCACTGGGCCCAGGGAGGAAGGATATGGGCTCAGAGCAGTCATGCACATCTCCAGTCTCAGGGGAGGCCACAATGTCTCCAATTCTCCTTCTCGTCTCCCGGGGCTCTTAATTACCGAGTTGAAGTTATTTGCTCAATTGGACAAGCTGAAGCCTCGTTTGGTTCGTGAGGAGCTGGGGGTTAAGAGAGACCCATCAAACCTGCTGGACAGCCGGACAGCAGCCCTTGAGGCCCAGAGTGGGGGGCTGTGTGTCCCAGCTGAGCTTTGAAATACTCCATTGGATCAATCAGTTGTGCAGTTAGTTAGAAGCAGATTATGGAGCTCTCCAGTTGTTCTCTGAAACTGGGGTTGCACACCCCTATCGTCACTTATCTCGAAGGCCTGAGCCCGGGGTCTTCAGCCCTGCTCCCAGACTGGTCAGTGTGTCTGCAGGTTACCTCTGGACGTCCGAAGCACCAGCTCCTGCAAGGCTGGGAGAAAACTGTTACACTGATCCAGTTTAGCCCAATAACCGAGATGAAGATCATGGTGAAGAGGGCTGAGTTGGAGTGAGTTACAGGGGCCCCGGATGTCAGGATCTGGGGAGGAGCACCCTGGCCAAGGTAAGATCCCTAGGTCCTGCTTTGACCCCAATATTCTCTGGGGTTTTGTGAGTGTTGGTAATTAATCGTAAGCGATGAAACGACGTCATAAAATTGAAACTGTATCCCCCCCTCTTCCGCGCCCTCCTCTATCTTTTATCGAAGACAGTGCAGTTCCCTCAGGCGAGCACTAGATGCCGCTATTTCGGTTCTGGTAAATCGGGTGAGCTCTATGGCAACACAAGGTCCTTTACTTCTCTGCAGTGGATGATGGGGTCGGTATTGGTTTTAACCAGTGAAACACGAACCCGAGGACGCCAATGGAAATGACTAAAAAAGTGCATTTAAATCAAGAACAGGTGGCGCTTCCTTACCCAGAGAGTGGTAGGAGCGTGGAACAAGCTAGCCAGCCGTGTTGTTGAAGGCGATACCCCTGGATTGTCTCAGGAAACAGCTGAGAGCGATGGGGCCCTGGAACCAACTTCATTACCATTCATTACCAGACTGGGCAGCTCGCGTGGCCTCCTCTCGTTTATAACCTCTATTAATTCCTTTTTTATGAAACGGGATTTCACATTTCGTAGATCTGCAGCGTCAGCCTTGGCTTTCCTCGGCAGAGATGACTTGGGAGAAGTGATACCGTCTTACAGTAAAGAGGAAACAGAAAGTGGACCTCAGCCGCAGGCAGAGAGGACAGGAAAGTACAGAATATTCTGTTGGTTCTGTCTAAGAGCGATCGCCCTTACTGACCGAGGGTCGTGTGGTAAAACCGGCTTCATATCGAATGGATTGATCCCTCGACAGATAAAAAAAACAGCGTTTCTTCTGAGGAATGTATTGATTGCAATCGCATGCCCAAATATCGGTAAAATTTGTTTTTGAATACGCCTCATGGAAGACGCAGTACATGCCACGAATTTGAAAGTGAAATACAAAAAACAAACACACACACAGACTGTTACGCACACCAATATATTTGTTATTATGTATTATTTACTGGCTTGTTTTTAATACTGTATCCAGATCCCAAACAGTAACGATGTACCAAAATAGTAACTGTTTTTCATACAGCTATACGAAAAGCGATGAACCAGGTGTTTGTGCACTCTTTCACACCACGGCAACGTTGTGAATATTTAAATACTTTTTAGGGACTTCAGGGGTTCTCGCTTTTTCTGCGACAGTACAGATTAATTAAAAAAATCACCTCAGCACTCTGGTAGAGACGTCACCTTTTGCTATCCCGTTAGCGTTGCTAGAGCGGAAGGGGGCAAAGTTCAAAATCTCCACACTACCAAAATAAAAAGTAAGGGGGTGAGGGAAGACGGTCCCTGAGCATTACGACTACAAGTCCCACGATCCTCCGCGGCGCTCCACGGTGCATGCGCGTTTCACGTGCTTTAGGGGCGTTCTCTTTTTTTTTTTTCCTTCTCGGGCGCAGCAGCTCGTGGTTTCATTCGTCTCGGACTGGCCTGCGAAGCGCCAGCTCTGGGAATGTGTGGGTGTAGACTGGGATTCGGGGTACCAAGGTGTCACCTAGCACTGGATTCCGCAAGCTGAAAGCCACCGGTGCATTCGTCCTTCATCGTCGTGATAACCGCTACCTACAGCTTTTATCAGCAAAAGTAAGCGCGCTTTATTTTTGCTCTTCTTATTGCGTTTTTTGTTTTTGTTGGGGGGTTTTCCCCCACAAGAATCGCTTTTTTTAGTTAACTGATCTTTGCTTAAGGCCCTGGACAGCATTGAGACGCGGGGCTGTGAGAAAAGCTGTCAGAAACATGGCACTGTTTACCTGTGACGTCTGATCGCACGAATATGCAACAGCAGTGGGGCAAAGTAGCTTTAACACTTAGTTTTTTTGCCCCTTTGCTTTTAATGCCAGCCGTTTGCTACCCCACTGTGCTGACGTCTAATGTATGGCGTTGTTGGCTACTCCTGTGTTTGTTGTAGGTTCCGGAAGGCCGGGTTGTCTTGGTTTTCTTGGTTCGCGTGCGGAAAAAGGAGTTGTTTTTTTCCCCGTGTACTAAATATATACTGATGCATCTTGTGCGAAAGAGCTCAGAGTATATTACAATGAAAAGGGGCGGTTTGTTTTGCGTCCAAAATAACCTGTTGCCTTGTAAACGTGTACAATAAAACGCGGTGATTAATCTTCGCGGGGAGAAGCAGGTTTCATGTCGGTGTTTTTTTTTTTTAATAGGTTGACCTCGTCTTTTGCTGTCCTTTCCCCCCGGATCGGTACTGTTGTGTTTGTGGGCTGGAGCCCGGCTGCCGTGTTGCGATGACAGGACGCACACGCCGCCGGCTCGGACGGTGCTGACGTTGTTCACGAGCAGTTCCCCAGTTCCTCAGGTATGCGCCCCCTTGGCGTCTGGGCTCGCGGCTCCGCAGGTCGGGCAGATGCACGCGCAGGGTTGTGGGCTCGGATGCGGCTGTGTCTCCGGGATGCATCTGGGATCCTTTGCGTTGCACGTCCCCCCCTCCCTTCTGCGGGGTTTTCTGTTTAATAGTCGTTATTGCACGGAGACGAGCCAACAGCCACCGAAACCTAAACGCGCTTGGAATGATGCACACTCATGCGATGAGTAAAGTGCTCAACGTGCGTAACAGACTTCGGGGTGGACTGTGCTGTGTAGCTCGCACGGCACTTATTAAATATCCTACAAAATGACAAGGCTGCGGGGTATGTACCGCTGGTTATCGCGGCAGGTAGACCAGATTTTCACTTTCCTTTGCTCTTTTTGGTCTTCGTCAAAGTCCGCCTGTGTAGAAGCTTTGACGTGAATCGGCGTTCTGTTTTTTATTCGGGTGCTGTTGTGGCGGATGCGGGCATTTCCTCAACGGCAAGCCCGCGCTGGGATTAACGGCGTGTAAACAAACCGCGCGGGGGGTATCGGGGCGCCCAGCCCGGCACCCTCGCTGGCCATATTGATGAACCGCTGTCCAGCACTTGACGGAATGAAACCGCTAAGAGCAGAACGCTTCAGCCGTCCGCATCTTTTCCATGAGCCGTGCGAGAAATTCACCTGCCTTCCATCGTGCGGACAGGAGTCCTTGATCTCAGCCCGTTGGTCTGTGTGCTGGCCCCCGCGCTCGACCGAGGAGGGGTGGAAAACCCATGGTAGGGCAGAAACGGGGGGTGCAGTTCGCCATTGTTTCCAGCTGTGCCTCGGGTAGACTGGGGGCTGCGCGCACGAACCCTCGTCGCTGGATTGTAAAGGTCGCTGTCGACGGAAATGAAAATGTGCGCCCAGCGACAGCGGGCTGCAGACCAGACTCCCCCGTACGTCAGAGGGCACGCTGGAACCCCTACTTATAAAGTCCATGGAGGGCTGCGATAAGACACACATGGCCGTTTAAGATAGTTAATGCGTTGTAATTGTACAGGATTTTTTTTTTTTGTTGCTGCTGCATTGCCGCGGTCCCCCTCGATGCGTCATGTAACAGGCGGTGGGAGTAATCCGATGCCCTCATGCGGATGGCGGCGGGGGAAATCCCTCGGTGCAGATAGGGAGGTGGTCTCTTTCAGAAGAGCACAGACACCAGTGTCTCCCAGAAGCAGCAGGTCTGGTAAAGACGGCGAGAGCGATCGAGCCACGGTGCAGCGCCGTCGGTCTCCCTGTGGACTGCCCCCCACAGGACTGCCCTCGCCGGCGAGCTGTGTTTCCGCTGGCGGAGCCCAAACCCCACGCCGGCGAGCTGGAGCGGAGGGGGTTGCGTGCGCGCTTGGGCACTCCCGCTCAGCCGGTGCCGGGGGGCTCCCCGACAAGCCGAGAACTGGGGAACCCCTAGCCAGCAGGACTTCCCTCCCGTCCCCGGGGTCTCGGGAGGTGGACTGGATCCCTCCCGGAGCCTCTGTGGGTCTCTGGCAGTCTGCGTTTATAATAATAATAATGTTTCTTTATTAGCCCTATACAATTTCTTGCATTAGGAATTCGTCTTTTCGCATACCCCAGCTTTTTCTCCATGGAGACAGACACACAGACAGGGAGAGAAGCTTGGTGCCGCCCTCAGAGTCAGAGCGCAGGGTCTGCCATTGTACGGCACCCCTGGAGCAGCTGGGGTTAAGCGCCTTGCTCAGGGGCCCAACGGAGTAGTATTCCTCTGCCGGCCGCAGGATTTGAACCGGCAACCTTCCAGTCACAGGCGCAGATCCTTAGCCACAGAGCCACCGCTCCGCCCCTGGTGGACAGGCTGTGTCCGTAATGGGACGTTCGGCAGGGTTTTGGTCTAGCCCAGCTGTGGAGAGCGGTGATGGCGAGGGGGCACGTGCACACACCTGCGTGGTCCCCAGTGGAGGCTCTGCAGCTGTCCAGCGCTGACCTGGCCCACACGGTCACGTCTGCCTATACCCCCCCCGAGCTCGGCTGTTTGTGTGCAGTGTGTCCCGGGGAGGTGGAGCTGGTGTAGATTATGGGGACTCTTTCTGGTCTCCGGGGGGCACAACTTCGGGTTAGCGGAGGGCGGCACTGTTTGGCTGTAGGATTGCAGAAGAACCCCCAGCCTGCAAAGTGAAGCCACCGGATGTAGACGTAGAGACACAGAGGAGTTCACTGCCATGTGTGCGTGTACACTGGAGTTCTTATTCGCTTATCTCTCGGGACCCACACCACACCACGCAATGTAGACAGCACATCGCAAACATAATCAATAATAGAAACAGGAACAACAAATAGGTTGTGGCACAATAAATATGCTGAGAAGACAGTAAATCTGACAGGAGAAGAAAGAAACCTCTGAAGGGGAACCCTCTGGTGCAGGTAAGCTCTCGCACCTGGCCTGTCCTGGCCTGCAGGCTCGTGAGCTCCAAGTCAGAGCCGCAGGCCTGTCCTGCTCCCAAGCTGAGCCCAGTCTCCCAGCTGGTGAGGATGATGAGGATCTCTGAGGTTGGGGTGTCTGTCGCTGACCCGGCGCGGAGGGCCCCCTTGGCAGCCTACAGCGCTCCTCCTCGGGCGGGGGCTGGCGGCGCTGTAGGTGCCCGCTTCAGGGGAACATGCCAGCCTCCAGGCCTGCTCCCCGCTGGCCCGAGCTTCGCAGTGCTCTGCGGGGCCGATGGTTGATTTGACAGCTGGGGGCGTCAGGTGGCGCAGGATGCTCAACAAAATAGTTGGCCGTTGGAAGACATGGGAAGAAATAAAAGTACCAGCCGATGGCAGCGCGCCAGTCATGCCATGCCGCTGCCAGGGCAGGAATCCCAGGATCGAATTTATTCCCGCACAGCGGGGTGGAAGGAGTCGGACGCCAAGGTGCAGCAGCTGCCTCCAGCAGCGGGAACAGTAGATGTAGCCCGCAGAGCCGACAGTGGGGGAACAAGCCTACGGTCCGGCTTCGATGGGCGCTGCACAGGAGTCCTGGCTGTCTCTGCCTCTTTTATCATCGTGCTGTGTGGGGTTGTGTGAGGGCCGGACGCAGCTAGTGCTGGGGGGGCATGACGCGGGTGGGGCTGCGGGCGTGCGCCAGCGCTGTG